TATTTTATTTTAAAAATGATCGTAATAAAAAAGAAGATTGTTTTTTTTTAAACCTACATGTATTTGACCTTAGAAAAAAAAAATAGAATAATGTTGAATATAATAAATAATAATTAATTAATAACTTATGTATAATTGTTTTCATGCTGCTTTTTGAGCACAGACCCTATGATAAAAATAATAAGGTTTATATAATTCACATTCAATTTCAATCTTATCGGTAAGGGAATTGATATCTTTTGGATCTATTTTCATAATTTTGCCAATAGGCCCTTTATAAGCGAATCTAGAATATTCTTTCATAGTAAGAGTACCAATTTTCCCTATTTTATGAGTATAATTACCCAATTGCATGTGACCTTTATCATGAATTACGTTGGAAAATATTGGAAATGATTTAATGAGTGAATGATGACGTAAAGCCATTTGTGGATTAACATTTATTGCCATTAAGCAATTGCATACTAAAGGGTTAGAGTAATTAAAAATTAGTAAAATAATAAATAATAATTACATATACACATACATAAAATAATTATATATATATACACATACATAAATAATTATTAAACATACATATATATATATACACACTCTATATAAAATATTATTTACCTGTGAGATTTAATTGCTTTAACGTTGGACCGCAGTTTGAGAATTCAATCTCGGGATCACATATTTCTAACCACCCTCCTGGTTTAAGGACTCTTGCGAGTTCTTGATATACAAAAGTTTCCCATTGTGTCTCCGTAAACTCACTTCCTACCGACTGTATATGAACGAATTCAAATGTGTTGTCGGGAAAAGGAAGTCCTTCTAATAAATTATGTTGACTAAATTCTATATTACTTGGAATGGTACTTTTAGGAAATGTTGATAAATTATCGATTCCAAAATATTGAGGACTTGAATAGTCGGCTGCCATTTCAAGGAGCCAAAAACCAGAACCGCATCTTTAAATTCGAAAAAATTTCAAAAAAAAAAAAAATAATTTTTTTTTTAAAAAAAATATAATAAATTATAAATTATTTAAATTATTCGAAAAAACTTTTTAAAAAATATATATATATATATTATAATAATTACCCAACATCTAAAATTTTTGCATTAGGATCGGATAAAATATTATGGATAGGTGAAGAAAAATTCCCTTTAAATAACTCTTTTATTATAAAGTGTACCAAATGTTCTTTTTCATCGTGGTCACTTTTTTCTTCGAGTTTAAATGATGATAACATTTCATGATAGTTACTTATGTAACCTTTCGGTTTAGGAGGTTTTCTAGTGAAATGGAAACGGGAAGTTTTATTGCCCATAATTTTTTTTTTATATTTTTAATAAAAGAAAGTAAAGAAAAAATTGAATATAAAAAGTTATACTGATCATTCTTTTTTTTTTAATTAAAGGTGAGACCTTATTTATATTCAAAAAAAAACTTTTATTTCATCTAAAATAAAAATTTTTTATATTATTTAATTAATATTACATTATATATTATATTATATATTATATTATACATTAATAATAATTCAAATAGGAATATGCAACCTTATTTTAGTCAATCCTCCGCATTCCTATTCGTGCAGATTTTTTTTGTAAAACCCCTACAAGTAATATAAAAAAAAAAAAAAAATTTCCTATGTTACAGAATCTTTTTAAAAAATCATGTGATCTGCACTCCTTATTTTTCCATCAATAAGTTCTAAAAAGTTAATAAGAAAATCCGACTTTACTCGGTTTATGATGGTTAAAATGACTATCTTAAATAATTATTAATAATTGGTTAAAATTTTAAATTTTTTCCTGCAATAATATAAAATTTTGGGTTTCAATATAAAATGTTTTTTTTTTTTTTTAAATATAAATATAAATTATATTACATGGGTTAATAAATTTTGTTACACAAGGTCACTAGATAAACAAGATAAAACAATTAGTAATATAAATCAAATGAGCCACAACATTGAATCTTAAATTCAATTCTAAAATATTTATGTGATTAAAAGAGATATAATAATTAATATTTTTAATATTTATATTTTTTTTTTTCTTTTTTAATATTAATTATATATATATTATTTATATATTTAATATATTTTAATATCACTGCGGGAAAATTTATAACAAATTTGCCGAAAGGAATCCCGAAACAAAGAATCAACCGAAACAAGAAATCAACCGATAAAATAATATAATAA